CGCACATGCCTTCCACTCTCTCACAAGATGCACATGCCCTCCACTCTCTGACAAGACGCACATGGCCTCCTTTCTCTCACAAGTTGCACATGGCTTCCACTCTCACAAGACGCACATGCCCTCCTTTCTCTCACAAGTTGCACGTGTCTTCCACTCTCTCACAGGAGGCACATGCCCTCCTTTCTCTCACAAGTTGCACATGCCTTCCACTCTCTCACAAGACGCACATGGCCTCCTTTCTCTCACAAGTTGCACGTGTCTTCCACTCTCTGACAAGACGCACATGCCCTCCTTTCTCTCACAAGATGCACATGCCTTCCACTCTCTCACAAGACGCACATGGCCTCCTTTCTCTCAGAAGTTGCACGTGTCTTCCACTCTCTGACAAGACGCACATGCCCTCCTTTCTCTCACAAGACGCACATGCCCTCCTTTCTCTCACAAGACGCACATGCCCTCCTTTCTCTCACAAGATGCACATGCCCTCCTTTCTCTCACAAGACGCACATGCCCTCCTTTCTCTCACAAGACGCACATGCCCTCCTTGCCCTCCTCTCTCTCACAAGACGCACATGCCCTCCTTTCTCTCACAAGACGCACATGCCCTCCTTTCTCTCACAAGACGCACATGCCCTCCTTTCTCTCACAAGATGCACATGCCCTCCTTTCTCTCACAAGATGCACGTGTCTTCCACTCTCTGACAAGACGCACATGGCTTTCTCCTGTTCCACTCTCACAAAGACGCACATGCCTTCCACTCTCTGACAAGACGCACATGCCCTCCTTTCTCTCACAAGATGCACATGCCTTCCTTTCTCTCACAAGACGCACATGCCCTCCTTTCTCTCACAAGACGCACATGCCCTCCTTTCTCTCACAAGACGCACATGCCCTCCTTTCTCTCACAAGACGCACATGCCCTCCTGTCTCTCCACAAGACGCACATGCCCTCCTTTCTCTCACAAGTTGCACATGCCCTCCTTTATCTCACAAGATGCACATGCCTTCCACTCTCTGACAAGATGCACATGCCCTCCTTTCTCTCACAAGACGCACATGGCCTCCTTTTTCTCACAAGTTGCACGTGTCTTCCACTCTCTCACAAGACGCACATGGCCTCCTTTCTCTCACAAGTTGCACGTGTATTCCACTCTCTCACAAGACGCACATGCCCTCCTTTCTCTCACAAGTTGCACATGCCTTCCACTCTCTGACAAGATGCATATGCCCTCCTTTCTCTCACAAGTTGCACGTGTCTTCCACTCTCTGACAAGACGCACATGCCCTTCTTTCTCTCACAAGATGCACATGCCTTCGACTCTCTGACAAGACGCACATGGCCTCCTTTCTCTCACAAGTTGCACGTGTCTTCCACTCTCTCACAAGACGCACATGGCCTCCTTTCTCTCACAAGTTGCACGTGTCTTCCACTCTCTCACAAGACGCACAGGCCCTCCTTTTTCTCACAAGGTGCACATTGCTTCCACTCTCTCACAAGACGCACATGGCCTCCTTTCTCTCACAAGTTGCACGTGTCTTCCACTCTCTCACAAGACGCACATGCCCTCCTTTCTCTCACAATTTGCACGTGTCTTCCACTCTCTCACAAGACGCACATGGCCTCCTTTCTCTCACAAGTTGCACGTGTCTTCCACTCTCTCACAAGACGCACATGGCCTCCTTTCTCTGAGACGTTGCACGTGTCTTCCACTCTCTCACAAGATGCACATGCCTTCCTTTCTCTCACAAGTTGCACGTGTCTTCCACTCTCACACAAGATGCACATGCCCTCCTTTCTCTCACAAGATGCACATGCCTTCCACTCTCTCACAAGATGCACATGCCCTCCTTTCTCTCACAAGTTGCACATGCCTTCCACTCTCTGACAAGATGCACATGCCCTCCTTTCTCTCACAAGTTGCACATGCCTTCCTTTCTCTCACAAGATGCACATGCCCTCCTTTCTCTCACAAGTTGCACGTGTCTTCCACTCTCACACAAGACGCACATGCCCTCCTTTCTCTCACAAGAAGCACGTGCCTTCCACTCTCTTACAAGATGCACATGCCCTCCTTTCTCTCACACGTTGCCTTCCTTTCTCTCACAAGATGCACATGCCCTCCTTTCTCTCTAAGTTGCACGTGTCTTCCACTCTCTCACAAGACGCACATTGAAGCACAAGATGCACATGCCCTCCTTTCTCTCACAAGACGCACATGCACAAGATGCACATGCCTCCTTTCTCTCACAAGATGCACATGCCTTCCTTTCTCTCACAAGACGCAGTTGCCTCCTTTCTCTCTCAAGTTGCACATGCACCCTTTCTCATCACAGATGCACATGCCCTCTCTCTCTCAAGATGCACATGTCTCCTTTCTCTCACAAGACGCACATGCCTTCCTTTCTCACGCCTTCCTCCTCTCTCACAAGATGCACATGCCCTCCTTTCTCTCACAAGATGCACATGCCTTCCTTTCTCTCACAAGATGCACATGCCCTCCTTTCTCTCCCAAGTTGCACGTGTCTTCCACTCTCACACAAGACGCACATGCCCTCCTTTCTCTCACAAGAAGCACGTTCCTTCCACTCTCTGACAAGATGCACATGCCCTCCTTTCTCTCACAAGATGCACATGCCTTCCTTTCTCTCACAAGATGCACATGCCTTCCTTTCTCACACAAGATGCACATGCCTTCCTTTCTCTCACAAGACGCACATGCCCTCCTTTCTCTCACAAGAAGCACGTTCCTTCCACTCTCTGACAAGATGCACATGCCCTCCTTTCTCTCACAAGACGCACATGCCTTCCTTTCTCTCACAAGATGCACATGCCTTCCTTTCTCTCACAAGATGGACATGCCTTCCTTTCTCTCACAAGACGCAGTTGCCTTCCTTTCTCTCACAAGATTGCACATGCCTTCCTTTCTCTCACAAGTTGCACATGCCTTCCTTTCTCTCACAAGATGCACATGCCCTCCTTTCTCTCACAAGTTGCACATGCCTTCCTTTCTCTCACAAGTTGCACATGCCTTCCTTTCTCTCACAAGTTGCACATGCCTTCCTTTCTCTCACAAGATGCACATGCGTTCCTTTCTCTCACAAGATGCACATGCCCTTCGTTCTCTCACACGTTGCACATGCCTTCCTTTCTCTCACAAGATGCACATGCCCTCCTTTCTCTCACAAGTTGCACGTGTCTTCCACTCTCACACAAGACGCACATGCCCTCCACTCTTTTACAAGGCGCAACTGCCCTCAAGTCTCTTGGAAGATGCATATCCTCTCCGCTCTGTCTCAAGACGCACACGTATGTATAATCTGGACCAGACAATCCAATGATCAACACTATGTGCATTGGTCTGCGCAATACTTGAGTTTCCGCTGAATTTGTCGTACTTGCGCAGGAGGTACTTCCTTTGTGGCAATCACGTGACAAAGGACACGCTAGAGGACAAAATGGCGAATGTCAAACCTGTTGTTGCGTGACCTACTCTCTGAAGAAACTATCAGTTTCTTACCAGACAAGGCTCCCAACGTCTCACTGACAGAGATACGATGGCATGTGTCCACCAAATCAGCGAGCTTAACCACGGGATCCCGTTAGTCGCCTCTTACGGCATTTCAACTGAACCCGAAAAAATGAATTCAGAACCGTTTTTCTGATTGGAAATAACACCGATATAAATTTGATCTTTAGAGTACATTTTTATCCCCGTTTAAGGAACACTGCAGCTGACCCTTTAATTCGAGTCTGAGGTAAAGTAGATTGGACGATTTTGGCTATAGCATGAGCCGAAAAATCACTATTAAAAAGTGACAAACGTCTCAAGCATTCAGTGGCAAGTCAAACGTTTGATTAAAGGTCAGATGACACCAACAGTGAATTTTGTGTGTGAGTATGGTTTTACGCCGCATTTTGTGATATCTCAGTGTCATAAATCATGGCGGAGAAAGAAACGGGGTTCACATTTTGTACTCACGTTGGGAATAAAACCTTGGTCTTCGCAGTTAAGAGCGAACGCATTAACCCCTAATCCACCCCACGTCCCATACAAATGAATCCCGAGTAACGTTTCAATCCCATTATTAAAATATATACTCGGGATCTTATGCAAAAAAGGTGGAACACCCAGGTAGGAAAAAATAAAATTTATGACTTGAAACAAACAATCGGTTATAATCATTTGGGTTGTCAGTCAAGACATGATATAGTCATTTTACGACGATGTCGTATTGGACACAGTCGGTTTACTCATGGTTATCTGCTTAGAGCGAAGGGGCGGTGGGGTAGACTGGTGGTTAAAGAGTTCGCTCGTCACGCCGAAGACCCGGGTTCGAATCCCCACTTGGGCACAATGTGTGAAACCCATTTCTGGTGTCCCCCGCCGCGATATTGCTGGAATATTGCTAAAAGCGGCGTAAAACCATACTCACTCACTCACTGCATAAAGCGGATGGAGATGAACCTCCTAAGTGTATCTGTTAAGATGAAGTGTTCACCATCAAGCATATTCTGCGTGACTGTGTGGACGTTTCAAATGCATTGGATGCATCATCATCATCATAATCATTATCATCATAAATCTGAAAGATCTGCTGTGTACCCGTGAAAGCATGCGTCTCATTGTGAACTACTCAAAAGAGAAATTGGTCCCTTTTAAAAATTGTAACTATGTATGTGTATGACATTTTCTTTCCAAATTTGGTGTTGTTACGTTTCCTTTTAGTAAATGCTAATGTTATAAAGACAAAATATTTTTTCAGAAACTCCATTAAAAACATGAACTTTGTTTTTAGAATGGAAATGTGTATGCGTACAAACTTGGTCCCGTCTCTATATGGTTGAAATGATGCCGATGCGTCACTCACTCACTCACTCACTCACTCACTCACTCACTCACTCACTCACTCACCCAGATGTGAATCCTTTGTGGTAAATTTTGATATCACCAGCATGTAATAAAAAACTCCAGGAATAAGAGTTATCTGCAAATTTTATTATCTCTTTCACAAACAGTGCAATGACCTATGAAATGACCTTCTCGCAAATAAACTTGTTGTACGCGTCACAGTTGACATCGTCCAGACAGAGGCCAGCTCCATTCCACAAACTGCCGCAACCGTGACCCCAGTTATTCGGTTCCCCTGAGCACCAAGTCCAGCTATCGAACGTCGTGGAACCATCTGTCCATCTGTATTGCTGACTTGACAAAGAAGAGAAGCCAACCAAGTAGTCATTGCTGAAGTCCCCTGAAAATACAAACATCGGATTTGATACGAGACAAGAATAATGCCATTTGCCGACATGACACAGCGTGGTGTATAATTGATTCCAAATTGCATACATAGGAACTCATGACATCAAACACGCCATTACCTGGCCAGGACTAACAAACATAAAGCCACAGAATAATGTTTCTATTCTGTCGTGAAAAACGAAACGAATCATTTGAAAGATGTTATGATATCCTGTTCCTAATTATAACAGCGGTTTGCTCGAACTGGCATCAAGTTCGCAATATGACAAGAAGATGGGAAATAGGAATGAGTACAAAGAAAACCTCGATTAGGCAACGACAAAAATTATGAACCAGCAGACACATCGGTTATTGCTTTTCACAGAGAGGTATTTTTGTCCGATCCAACTGGAACTGTTCAAATGAGTATGGTTTTACGCCGCTGTTATCAATTCTCCAGCAATATCATGGCGGGGGTCACCAGAATGGGCTTCAAACATTGCATCCCTTGTGGGGAATTGAACCCGACATGACGAGCGTCTGCTTTACCCACTAGGCTACCCAATGAATAATGAGACTATGTGATGGTGATTTACTTACATATGTAATAGTTGATGTAGCTGACCAAGTCAGATTGTTTAGCATACGTGTCAACCTTGTAGAGACGACAGCTTGAGCACAATGTCTCGCACCATGCCTTTGCGTCAATCCAGTAAGCCCTGACATTATAGGCCGTATAGATACACGTGCCAGGGGAGGACCTAAATGACCATGGGTAGTCACAGCTGGTATCTGTAAATTGCAAGGGAGACATGGTTGAGGTGGTTGATAATATGGTCAGAAGTGAGACAGGGTTGAGGTGGTTGATGGTGTAGTCAGAAGTGAGACATAGTTGAGGTGGTTGATGGTGTAGCCAGAAGTGAGACAGGGTTGAGGTGGTTGATGGTGTGGTCAGAAGTCAGACATAGTTGAGGTGGTTGATGGTGTAGTCAGAAGTGAGACAGGGTTGAGGTGGTTGATGGTGTAGTCAGAAGTGAGACAGGGTTGAGGTGGTTGATGGTGTGGTCAGAAGTGAGACATGTTTGAGGTGGTTGATGGTGTAGTCAGAAGTGAGACAGGGTTGAGGTGGTTGATGGTGTAGTCAGAAGTGAGACAGGGTTGAGGTGGTTGATGGTGTGGTCAGAAGTGAGACAGGATTGAGGTGGTTGATGGTTTTACAGAAGTGAGACATGTTTGAGGTGGTTGATGGTGAGGTCAGAAGTGAGACAGGGTTGAGGTGGTTGATGGTGTGGTCAGAAGTGAGACATGTTGAGGTGGTTGATGGTGTGGTCAGAAGTGAGACATGTTTGAGGTGGTTGATGGTGTGGTCAGAAGTGAGACAGGGTTGAAGTGGTTGATGGTGTGGTCAGAAGTGAGACAGGGTTGAAGTGGTTGATGGTGTGGTCAGAAGTGAGACATGTTTGAGGTGGTTGATGGTGTGGTCAGAAGTGAGACAGAAGTGAGACATAGTTGAGGTGGTTGATGGTGTAGCCAGAAGTGAGACAGGGTTGAGGTGGTTGATGGTGTGGTCAGAAGTGAGACATATACTGAACCGCAAAAGAAACGCAAGTTACTATTTTCAAAACATACGTTCCAAATGCATTCCTTTTAGGACAACAAAGTATACCATTATAGAACTAAGCATTCGAAGATGGTTTTGCCGTTGTTGCCGCTGATTCTTGATCATATCGCCCAAACGCAATCATTTTCATGTTTTTCGTGTTTTTTTGCATGAAGTTTTTGTGTTTCACACAAAAATGCGTGCATTTCACTCCAGTTTGAAGCTTTATAAGGCAGGTTATTAAAAAAACACCATAGAACACAAAATTGACTGTGACAACGCGGAGAAAACATCCCACGTCTAACTGAACAGCAACGATGAATCGCCGTTGGAATGTTGCAGACCGGATCCACACCAACTAAAGTGGCCAGGCACTTCAGATGTCACATGACAACAATCACAAGACTATCCGCAAGGTATCGTCAAACCGGTAATGTTCCAGACCGACCACGTTCAGGACGTCCCAGGGTAACAACGCCAGCGCAAGATCGTCACATCCGGGTTACTCATCTGCGTAACCGACAGCAACGAGCAACACAGACAGCGGCAACCATTCAAGGGCCACAACGTCACATCTCTGCAGACACTGTTCGTCGTCGTCTGAGGGCAGCATGGATCAGATGTCGCCGTCCTTACGTCGGACCGATTCTGACGCAACGTCACCGCCAAAATCGTTTACAGTGGGCGCGACAACACCAGCGTTGGCGACGTCAACAATGGCAACAAGTGTTGTTTTCTGATGAGTCCAGATTCAACTTGTCCCACGCCGATGGCCGATTACGTGTATGGAGACGACGTAATGAACGTTACGCCAACTGTTGTGTTGTGGAAGCTGACCGCTGGGGAGGTGGAAGACTCATGGTATGGGGTGGCTTCAGCTACCACCACAGAACACGTTTACACGTGTTTCGTCAACGTGTGACTGCTGTAGTCTACAGAGACCAGGTCCTTCAACAGCACGTTGTACCGCTCTTCCAGGCCCAACCTCAGCTCCAGACGTTCCAGCAGGACAATGCTCGTCCTCACACTGCACGGGTCTCTATGGACTTCCTCAGAGGGAACAACATTGCTGTACTGCCCTTGCCCTCTCTGTCCCCGGATATGGCACCAATCGAGCATGTGTGGGATGAAATTGGTAAACGGATACAGACAGCTGCTCAACCTCAAAACCTTAGAGATTTGGAAGCCAGATTGGTCATGGAATGGAATCAAATTCCCCAAGCCTTCTTTCAGACACTTGTTGACTCGATGAGACGTCGTTGTGCTGCCTGCATTGCAGCCAATGGTGGTCACACGCGCTACTGATTGACACACTGTTTCGTGACATTTTTGGTGTGTGAGGGTGGAGTGATAACATATGCTTTTACAGTAAACTTGAGTGTTGTTTTCACCAGAGATCACGACTCATTTCTTCAACAATCACTTGTCTGTTGTTTTTTCGTAGTGTTGAGATTGTTTGTTCCACAGATTCAGAAATATTGACATTTCTAAATCAACTTGCGTTTCTTTTGCGGTTCAGTATAGTTGAGGTGGTTGATGGTGTAGTCAGAAGTGAGACAGGGTTGAGGTGGTTGATGGTGTAGTCAGAAGTGAGACAGGGTTGAGGTGGTTGATGGTGTGGTCAGAAGTGAGACATGTTTGAGGTGGTTGATGGTGTAGTCAGAAGTGAGACAGGGTTGAGGTGGTTGATGGTGTAGTCAGAAGTGAGACAGGGTTGAGGTGGTTGATGGTGTGGTCAGAAGTGAGACAGAAGTGAGACATTTTGAGTGGTTGATGGTTGAGAAGTGAGACATGATTGAGGTGGTTGATGGTGTTTACAGAAGTGAGACATGTTTGAGGTGGTTGATGGTGTGGTCAGAAGTGAGACAGGGTTGAGGTGGTTGATGGTGTGGTCAGAAGTGAGACAGGGTTGAAGTGGTTGATGGTGTGGTCAGAAGTGAGACATGTTTGAGGTGGTTGATGGTGTAGTCAGAAGTGAGACAGGGTTGAGGTGGTTGATGGTGTGGTCAGAAGTGAGACATAGTTGAGGTGGTTGATGGTGTGGTCAGAAGTGAGACATGTTGAGGTGGTTGATAATATGGTCAGAAGTGAGACAGGGTTGAGGTGGTTGATGGTGTGGTCAGAAGTGAGACATGGTTGAGGTGGTTCAATGTGTGGTCAGAAGTGAGACATAGTTGAGGTGGTTGATGGTGTGGTCAGAAGTGAGACAGGGTTGATGTGGTTGATGGTGTGGTCAGAAGTGAGACATGTTTGAGGTGGTTGATGGTGTAGTCAGAAGTGAGACGGGGTTGAGGTTGTTGATGGTGTAGTCAGAAGTGAGACAGGGTTGAGGTGGTTGATGGTGTGGTCAGAAGTGAGACATGGTTGAGGTGGTTGATAATATGGTCACAACTGAGACATGTTTCCACGGTTGATGGTGTGGTCAGAAGTGAGACATTGCTCCACGGGTGGTACAGGCCGTTTGAGACAAAATGATACCGATGAATTTCAATCTGACACAAAAACAAATACACATAAAAGAACCAAACCAACGCGGTACGCAATAAAAACAACAGAAAAATTCCATAATTTGTGACACAAAATTAAAAAGGTTGTTCAAGAAACTGTCATCATTTATTTGTGCGTTTTCCAAGTTTGTTACAAGGGCGCATGGGCAACTAAAACGCGAAAAGCGAGATGCACGTGCGTTAACGAGTTCTCAACAAACTTTTGAGCTGGCGAGATGACACGTACCCAAGCTGCACAGGCAGTGCGCTGTATGAACTCAGTGGTTGCATACTTTGGTCACCCCCCGTCATTTTCATCCTTGAAAAAAATCACAGACTTTGTAAATTATAGACTTTCATTTTCTCTCACTTTGTCAATCAGCAGTAATCACATGTCTCCGACGTCACTAATGCACGTGCATCTCGCTTTTCGCGCTGTCATTAAGTTGCCACTGCGCCCTTGTAACAAACTTGGAAAACGCACACTGAAATAAATGATGACTTTTTTTATTTTTGTGACAAAAATTATGCAATTTTATTTCTAGAGTTGGTCTGTTGTTGTCATTGCAGTCCGCGTTGGTTTGATTCTTTTATGTCTATTTGTTTTTGTGTTAGATTGCAATGCATCGGTATCAGTTTGTATCAAACGGACTGTAGTGTTGGCAGAAGTGAGACTTGTTTCCACGGTTGGTTTCGTGATCAGAAGTGAGACATTGTTTCACGGTTGGTAGTGTGATCAGAAGTGAAACATGGGCCTGACAGATTCAGAGTTCGGTGAAATCTCAGATTGAAGCAACTCTCAAAACAGACAAGTACCAAGAAATACGAAAGACTTACCTACGTCCTCGATCATACTATCTATGGTGTCACTGAGGTCATCAATTTGGGTCTGCAGATTCTGGACCTGAGAGTCCACACTGCTTTCTGTAAACAGAAAGGAAGGTCAGACTCGTCAATAGATGGGAGGATGTATGCAATTGTTTACCTTGATACACATATGATATATACTTTTTTGAACAAGCAAAATATGTGAGCTGCAAGTAAATTTAATATTTTAAAAAATGAAATCATTATCTTTGTATGGTGTGATATAGAACCTAGCTAGCTATTCTCGGACCGTTCGTAGCCCTACAAACTTCTTTTAAAAGCCCATTCTTAACACATTGGCTACGATCAAAGTTACTTCCTTTACTGTAACATTGACTTATGATAGTCGAAGCGCTCCCAGAGCTTTGTGAAACGGTGCACTGGACAAGAAAACAAAGAAATAAACATGCGCTCTGGCTAACGATGGCATTCATTAACCCAGTAAGAGAGCCTGACTCCGCTAGTCGCCTCTTAGGAAATGTATTTTCGCTTCGTATGCATGGGGTGCTGAGTAGTAAGCGTAGCTGATGATTGATTGATTGATTGATTTTATTTCAGAAATGTAGGCCATCCGGACCATAATTCACATACATAGTCCTTTAATATACTTGACAGAGTATATTAAAGGACTATGTATGTGAATTATGGGCCGGATGTAGCTGATGAATAATGCAATGTGATTAAAACGATTATATGAAATAGGGTCGTACTTCAAACCAAACATTGACTGCTTTAACTATTTTGTGTCAGTTTTACTTCAAACCAAACATCGGCCCCTTTAACTATATCGTGACAGTTTTACTTGAAACCAAACATTGAAACCTGTAACTATATTGTGACAGTTTTACTTCAAACAAAACATTAACTCCTTTACCTACATTGTAACAGTTTTACTTCAAACCAAACATAAACTCCTTTACCTACATTGTAACAGTTTTACTTTAATCCAAACATTGACACCTTTAACTATATTTTGTCAGTTTTACTTCAAACCAAACATCGGCCCCTTTAACTATATCGTGACAGTTTTACTTGAAACCAAACATTGAAACCTGTAACTATATTGTGACAGTTTTACTTCAAACCAAATATTGACACCTTTAACTATATTGTGACAGTTTTACTTCAAACAAAACATTAACTCCTTTACCTACATTGTAACAGTTTTACTTCAAACCAAACATAAACTCCTTTACCTACATTGTAACAGTTTTACTTTAATCCAAACATTGACACCTTTAACTATATTTTGTCAGTTTTACTTCAAACCAAACATCGGCCCCTTTAACTATATTGTGACAGTTTTACTTCAAACAATATATTAACTCCTTTGACTATATTGTGACAGTGACGTTTAAGAAATATCCTGTCAAGGTGATGAGAAGTGTGTTAGTCAAGGGAGAAATTATATGAAAAGACGTACGTATAGCGCTTGATTCCGATGACACGGCCGATATATCTGCCACCATGGCATCTAGACTTGACTGAAGCCCCGTCACGCTAGCTGAAAAATATAAGATTATAGAAAATTGGAAGAAGACGTACTACCTGAACATATTTTGTAGAATGTATTGGAAGAATACGATGTTTGTTTGCTAGTTGTTTAACAACCCGGTCAGCATTACTCCAGCTACATGGTGGCATTCTGTACATACCTGGGTCTGGACCACACAATCCAGTGATCAACAGCATGAGCATCGGTCTACGCAATTTGGATCCGATGTTATATCAACGAAGTTAGCGAGAATGACCACACGATCCCGTTGGTCACCTCTTACGACAAGCATGGGTCCACTGAAATACGATGACCTGCATCGACCAAGTCAGGGAGCCTTTCTACCCGATCCAATTACTTGCCTCTTACGACAAGTATATTCGCCTATTACGACAGCCTTATATTTGCCTTCTACGACAAGTATATTCGTTTGTGTTTATGCTAGTGTTATGCCGATTTTAACGATATTCCAACAGTATTACGACGGATAGCACCTGAAATGGGCTTCACACATCATACCCATATGGAGATTCGAACCGAGTCTTCGAACCGAGTATGGGGATTCGAATCGAGCGCATTTCAAACTGAAGTCAGCTGCCTAAAAAGGGAACCAAAGGGCTTTTGTCTGCCCTACAGGTCCAATCATTTCCTACTCGTAACAGTCAATGAATGATTTTGTATCAAATGTAAATATGGAATGTGGATTATGTAAGGAATTCAGTGAGACCGTCAAACCACTTGTCGGTTGATGAGCAGCGTTTGCACAATCACAGAATCTTAAGAGCCATAATGTCCTTTTATTACCGTCTTCGCCATGCTTAAGGTTTTGACTCGGAGGTTCATCCATGGCAGGACCCAGAATATGTAGAAGACGTCATTGAAATGACAATTACAAAATTCTTTGGAATAGGCCAACATACAGCCTCCGACGTTTCAAAGACAACAAACATGATCTATCTTGTTCTTTTGATAACACGAAATCATTCGTATCATTGAATTTTCTGCCCCTTTTGACTGTAATGTGATTGACAAGATTCAGGCAAACCATGGCAAATATGAGGACCTCGTCCTTGAAATATCTCGTTTGCATCTCAAGTACACTGTCGTCAGGCTCCACATTGTTATCGGTGTCCTGGGCTTGGAACCTCCTGATCTCTTGTAGATCCGGAGAATGCTCGGGTTCTTCATCGGAAGCCCATTCCTTCTGACACACTAGGAAATGCAGAAGGATGCAGTGTTGGGGAGTCTCATATTTTTCGGAAAGCCTTTGGTAGGTTTATGGCAGCACTTCCTGGGAAAATTCCCATTCCCTGTCTGGGCTGCGTGTAGAATGGACAAGTGTACCTGACTTGATGGTCACCCTAACCAGCCTGACAGTACTAGGACAACACAACTTTTGCATTTTATCTTAATCTGTAAAGCATAATAATAACATTATCATATTCCATGTCAAAATACAGTCGCATACATACATTGTAGGGTTCCAATGGACGCGGCATGGTTGCTGATGTCGCTCTGAACAGCGGTAACGGATGAGGTTGTCGATGAACCTGCAGCAGAACATGAAGTTTATGAATGTATGAAAGTGAGTGAGTGAGTTTAGTTTTACGCCACACTCAGAAATATTCCAGCTATATGGCGGCGGTGGGTAAATAATCGAGTCTGGACCAGACAATCCATTGATCAACAGCATGAGCATCGATCTGCACAATTGGGAACCGATGACATGTGTCAACCGAGTCAGCGAGCCTGACCACCCGATACCGTTAGTCGCCTATTTACGACAAGTATGGGTTACTGAAGATAAATATTCTAACCCAGGACCTTCACGGGTGAAAGTATGAAACGACACAGGCAAAACAAGGACGTGTTAATTAACAACACTTTGAAAAGTACTTCAGGCCAGTTTGGCCACGAAGTCTACCAATGATTCAGTTCTTTCAACTTTTACATTGCAATACTTCTTTGTTTCTTTGTTGTTTCACGACACATTCAGCAATATTCCAGCTATCTGGAGGCGGTCTGTAAGTGATCTATTTTGGACCAGACAATTCACAGATCAACAGGATGAGCAGCACGCAATTGGGATACGATGACATGTACCAACCAAATCAGCGAGCCTGACCACACGAATGAATAAATGCATATATAAGAAAGCATATACATGTATGCTGCGAATAATGACTTCATTAATTTCGTGATTATTATTTTTGTCTATCTAGTCACACAAAAATTTGGCTACCAATAATTTCACCTGGAAGACAGTTGTAATAATTTCTCCTTCAGTTCATTATTTTCTAAGCAGATGACTGAACTGCATTCGAGCAATAGCATCTATTTGGCATATTGGTTTCACAACAGCCTTTCTTCTGACTTACGGGATTTGTTTTATGTGTCTCGTTGATATTCTGAAGTACATGATGTACACACCCATGCCTATGTTTGAGCCTCAGGTTGTGAACAACTATATATTTACCAGCTTCTTGAAGACTTGCAACATCTGCTACCAGCCCATCCACTGTGCTCTGCAAAGAGCTGGAACCAGTTTGACTGGCGGCTTCTGAAACAACAGCCAAGACGGCTATAGCTACCACTACACGAAAATCGGTATTTCCTGTAAAACGTGGAAAGTGTCCCGATGAGTACAAAAGGGAGACTACTTGATAAATCCCTTCTGAATGTAAACATATCATTTATTATCTAGCTTGATATAAGAAGCCATATGTTTTATTATGTGGTACAAAAGAATGGTTTTGGTATTTAGCAATGTTAAGGAGGAAGACACCAGAAAAGGGCTTCACACATTGTACCCATGTGGGGAATCATACACGGATGTTTTGCGTTGTAAATGCGTCGTTTGTCTTGAGCATTAAACCACCTCACTCATTCAGTGAGTTTGTTTTTAAGCCCCTTTCAGCAATACTCCAGCAGGATCACAAAAATGTTCTTTACGATCTGTAATCCATGTTGGGAGTCTGCCCCTGCCCCTGCCCACCTATCTAAACCCCCACCCCACCCCCCACCCCCCGCGCACCTCTTGCTGAACACTTACGAGCATCAAGTTGACTTTGTAGATTGGCAATAGTTGTTTCCATTCCATCGAACTTCACTGTGTACTCGCCTACAAAAGCTGCATAAAATAAACGAATTATATTGCATTTCTCTGGAACCAGACGAGAGGGCGTCAAGACTTCAAACTGGTCACACTGCTCCATTGAGGTTTTATATTTACCTCGACCCCTCACACGACATTCCATGGTGGGTATAGTAAAATTAATCATACTGGTCATCTTATATAGTGAGTTAATATTGTTTCACATCACATTTGCAAAAATCTTGTTTAAATTGAAGTAAATATCCATTCAATTCATTACAAAGACTAATATTGGGGTAAAACTATTAACTTGCATTTGACCGAGTCTAAAAATAACGAATATTGTAAGACATGATAGGTGAATGAAATTAACTGCTGTTTGGGAAGATAAATTATGTCCTCATCATACTATCGTAACCAATCGCAAAATTTAAATAAAACCTCAATAGTACAAAGACAGTTTATTCCCATTGGTTATACGTCACTGTTGTTGTATGTGGGTAATTGGATAAGTTCAAATCACAAGTTGTATCACCCAAACTAGAAGTGTGACAGTGCATAGCTTGGGCATGGTCTCTCTGTATTGAAGTGATTTCTCAAAACGATTGCAGTGACTAATTTTAAAACAAGTGCAGCAAATATTTTTAAAACTAGTGATGTAGATAGTGTTCAAACTGTTGTTGTAAATGATCTTTACATGTTTTGTTGATGTGTTTTGTTTTATTGTGATACTTGATGGTTGGTCAAAGTCCTCATAATGAAAATGGATTGTAAATAAACGTCTTGACCTGTTCATCGTATGTGTTGGATCAGTCCATTCATACTTAGGTTTGTCTATTTACTGGTTGTTTAACGTCCCGTTCACCAATTTTCCAGCTATATGACGCGGTCTGTAAATACATCGAGTTTGGACAAGACAACAGCATGAACATCGATCTACGCATTTGGGAAACGATGACATGTGTCAACCAAGTCAGCGAGCCAGCGACTTTTAAGATAAACATGGGTTGCTGAAGATCAATTCCAACTCGGATCTTCATGGGTTTACTACTTAACTATCAGCATTATGGGTCCTGGTGCATTCTACAATATAACTTGTGTGGCATCATATCGCTTGACAAATGGGACATGACTAAAGGGAGGGCACAGCAAGGACCCCGACTGACACCCTCGTTGTTACCTTACCAGCATTCTCTGTACTGGTTGATGATACAGAGGTTACAAGGACTTCTATTTCCGCAGCCTGAGTCTGCATACGCTCAATCATGGTATGGATGTCATCGCAACCTGAAACACAAGGAAACATTTTCAAATTTACTTATTACCATAAAAATATCCTGGACGAGTTCATTTCGCAACGACTCGAACACTAGGCCCTGAGATATATCTACTCTTAACCCCACCAATTGGTTCCGTATTCGTCTGTTTGTAGACTTCTGTTTTGATAAAATTACAATTTAGTCCTGATCTTCAGACAAGCAGGACAACCGTGAAATTGGCCAATCGGAGACGCCATATTGTTTGCCAGCACATTAAATCAATATTAATCACGGGACAGTAAACATATGAACATGTTCTCTTTTTTCTTTTACATTTCAGATTTTGTATAAAAAAGTATAAAAGATGCAAAGAACAGCAGATGATCTGCAGCTGATTCTTGTGCAATTACATGAGCACATTGCGCTAACTACTAACTTTATTCTGGCGTATATTCCCACGTGGTCTCATAGACAGTTGAACTACTACTGCCTGATGGTCTTCCTTGACATCTCTTACCTCCTGCTTTTTGACAGACACCGATTTCAGCGCGTGTTTCAGCAAGTTGGCTCATTAAATCTAAGAGGGAAGCCGACGATTCGTCGATTTTCGTGTCTGCAAAATAATAATTAGTTTTAAAAGAAACATTGAATGGGGTTTCCAGGAATACTTGGAGGAAAAAACACAAAGCGATGCCAAAAGAACGGGGGAGGTGGTGAAACCACAGAGAGATGATACAGGCCGTCCTATATCAGAACGGGCGAGGTGGTGAAACCACAGAGAGATGATACAGGCCGTCCTATATCAGAACGGGGGACGTGGGGAAACCACAAGGAGATGACACAGGCCGTCCTATATCAGAACGGGCGAGGTGGGGAAACCACAAGGAACGGGAGGTGGGGAAACCACAAGGCCAGTCCTATATCAGAACGGGTGAGGTGGGGAAACCACAAAGAGATGATACAGGCCTTCCTACATCAGAACGGGTGAGGTGGGGAAACCACAAAGGGATGATACAGGCCGCCATCTTTAAGAACGGGTGAGGTGGCGAAACCACAAAGGGATGATACAGGCCGCCATCTATAAGAACGGGTGAGGTGGTGAAACCAATGAGAGATGATACAGGCCGTCATATATCAGAACGGGTGTGGTGGGGAAACCGCAATGAGATGATACAGGCCGTCCTATATCAGAACGGGTGAGGTGGGGAAACCACAAAGAGATGATACAGGCCGTCCTATATCAGAACGGGTGAGGTGGTGAAACCACAAAGGGATGATACAGGCCGGCATACATCAGAACGGGTGAGGTGGTGAAACCACAGAGAGATGATACAGGCCGGCATACATCAGAACGGGTGAGGTGGGGAAACCACAAAGAAATGATACAGGCCGGCATACATCAGAACGGGTGAGGTGGGGAAACCACAAAGAGATGATACAGGCCGGCATACATCAGAACGGGTGAGGTGGGGAAACCACAAAGAAATGATACAGGCCGGCATACATCAGAACGGGTGAGGTGGGGAAACCACAAAGAAATGATACAGGCCGGCATACATCAGAACGGGTGAGGTGGGGATACATCAGAACGGGTGAGGTGGGGAAACCACAAAGAAATGATACACCACAAAGAGATGATACAGGCCGGCATACATCAGAACGGGTGAGGTGGGGAAACCACAAAGGGATGATACAGGCCGGCATACATCAGAACGGGTGAGGTGGGGAAACCACAAAGAAATGATACAGGCCGGCATACATCAGAACGGGTGAGGTGGGGAAACCACAAAGAAATGATACAGGCCGTCCTATATCAGAACGGGTGAGGTGGCGAAACCACAAAGAGATGATACAGGCCGGCATCAGAACGGGTCAGAGATGATACGGCCGGCATACCACAAAGAAATGATACAGGCCGGCATACATCAGAACGGGTGAGGTGGGGAAACCACAAAGGAATGATACAGGCCGGCATACATCAGAAAGGGTGAGGTGGGGAAACCACAAAGAAATGATACAGGCCGGCATACATCAGAACGGGTGAGGTGGGGAAACCACAAAGAACTGATACCGGCATACATCAGAACGGGTGAGGTGGGGAAACCACAAAGAAATGATACAGGCCTTCATCTATAAGAACGGGTGATGTGGTGAAGTCACAATGAGATGATACAGGCCGTCATATATCAGAACACGCATTCATATTCCCGTATGAAGATGAACTAGATAAGATCTAAGTTTACCTTGTCCGCTGAGATGGGCCGTGATACTGCTTTCCATGTGATCTAAACTATCCGAAACTCCACCCACGGTTGCTTCCAAGCCAGTCACCTGTTCTTGTAAAGCTGAGGAAATAGTATTTGGTTTGTGACTTAATAATGAAAACATTAAGTTAAAAAGTACATGAATCTGCAATAATCTTCTATATTCTTTCTAAGGATCATCGGGAAGTTTTAATAAATCCTGCATGGTTCATTTTACAAACACATTTCTTAACGCAACGGTTCTTTCACAAACCTTTTACAATTCGTTAAAATATTATTCTGAACACAAGGTAAAACAACTAAATCCACTCACGTTTGGGTTTATAATAACATTCATGCAAATACTCTGAACTAAAGTCAATGAAATATTCTTAAATTATTCCAAGGATACATAATTTACAGAGTCGACTAAGACAAGCAGCACCACATCTCTTCCAAGTTTCGGTATTACTGGCATTTGAGCAAACGTCCTTAATTCATCTAAACGTCGAATATATTCACGAATCATGAATGTGCATAGACATACTCTACATCAAGAAGGTAAGCTGTAACGGGCTCACCATTTAATAATCTCGGGGTTTAACCGAGATATTACGATAAGTTTTCACGCACTGTTTCAGAACACACAGATATATTCTGCAAAAGGGGAAACCCTTCTTTAAACTAGATCCTGCTTTGTAAGGAATTTCAAAAGAGAAAATCAGCTGTTTCGTGTGTTTTGATATCATGATTTGTTCCCCGAGAAGGTTTCCTGGCTCCTGCAATCATGTCAGCTGGGCAAAAAATGACCAGTCCGATTAGGGCCAACGGCTTTTAGGTGATGTGATATTTCACTCACCATCGATCGCTGATGAGTCGAAGGTATTCTGAGTACTTTCAAGAACATCAACCCGTGCTACAACGCTGTCGATATCCGCCTGATTCGAAGTGCTTCCACTCTGAACTGAAAGAG